ATTGTTCTGATTTGGTGACCCAATAACTAATAGAAAAGCCTGTAATCGGCACATGGACAACCCGTGTTTCTCTACTGATTCTGAATGTTGGCGTGCATACCATGTAAGTCTGTTGAACAATACACAGCCGTCCACGCTGATGAATATTCCATTATTACAAAGGAGTGCTCAGAGTTTGGGTTCGAGATGTTTGTGCAAAGTAAATTGTCTGAGATGCCAAGAGGTGGTAGATGAAGTTATAAAATACACGCAGATTGGAATATAACATGGTGTGAAAAACGTCATTTGTAAAACCATTTATGACACCCGCACAAATTAAAGAAGAAACAACTGAAGCATCCTTTTCCAGAAGACAGGACTCCCTGGAATACACCAACAAGGCAGCAGTGGAAGAATCAGAGTGTGCAAAACTGGTTGGAAAGAGTGGTACATCCTGAAGTGCTTGAATAAGCAGATCAGAACACATTGTCCAGACGTGTAAGTCACAAACAAGATCTCGGATAGTTACATCTCTTAATTAAAGATTTTCTCTCTAAAATATCATTGATTCTTTCTCACTACTGCAGAAAGAAAATGTCGAAATAATACATTCCGCTTTTTCTGAGAAACTATGAGCATCAATACAAAGAAAACGTCAACCATGCTTTAATGACAGGAAGTTTCCTCTTCTCGACCTATATTTGAAAAGAAAGTCCAGCAGGACGCTCAAGAAAGAATATGTGCGACTTTTACTTTGCACAAGACAGGCAACTTAACTGGGGCAAAGTGCAATGCTCACATGGAGAAAAAAGAGGCAACTCAAGAGTTAAAGAAGAAAGACAAAGAGGCTCCTGCAGATTCTGATACTGGACTGGCGGCCATATCTATGGATGTACAACGTACACTTCCAGCTCAATTTTACAAGCTTTGGCCCTGAGTAACAAAACGACACTCCCAAGTCCACAACTTCAGCATTTTTAACCGTCACAATCGTGTTGTCCTGTGTTAAGTTTGAAATGAGTCCGAAGGGGTAACAAGGCGTCTTGCTTGGTAACCTTCCTAAAACACAAGGTTTAAAAAAAAAAATAATTTTGAGATGGCTGCTTTTACGAAACTAGACAGGAAGCATTGGCAACCGTTTTGGGACACTTCAGGATGATTCACGACCCAATCATACAGCAAACATATACATAAATGGAAGTGAATTTAGTTCATGCCACCATTGAAAACAGAATTAAGGGCGCTGAAAGTCAAAATCTGACAACGTCAAGTTTATAAATGAGACTCACACAAACCCTACACATATTATGATGTTCAGTATTTAAAGAACGTATTGTTCTTCTCCAACTACAGGTGTACCCGAGTCTACAAAGCCTGGAAATTGTCGTATCGTCCTTGTGGATTATTATATCCTTTATAAACTAGAGCTTACAGGTTTGACACTTTTGCCATTGCCAAGAGGTGCCCAAATCCAACAGAGAAAGGGGCACTGCAATGACACAGAAAATCCTAAATAACTAGACTATATAAAGCCCGTCTAAAGATTATAAAAACAAAATACGACCATCTACAGTCCATGAAGCGTGTTGTTCTGTTTGATTCGCATGCAACTTCATTTTTTATTGGCAAAGCATTAAATTTCAACTTTTCTTTTAAAAACCTGTTTATAAATTGTAATTATTTGGTAAGCAGGCTTCTGACCCTGCCTGTCTGGGCCATCCCGGGCTGAGAGGGATACAACATTCCAGCAAAAAGACCTAAACCTAGATACTCGATAAAGATTTCTCCCCTCTCAGGAATCGAACACGGGCCTCCAGTGTGCGACAGCCGAGCGTCTCCGCTACACTAGTGACTGACTACACTAGTGACTGACTACACTAGTGACTGACTACACTAGTGACCGACTACACTAGTGACTGACTACACTAGTGACTGACTACACTAGTGACTGACTACAGTCGAACTTTTGTTTTGAAAGGAGACATACAAAACATCATTAACAAAAATCGTGTCGGTTTATTAGTGGACAGAAAATCTTTCCTTTAATTTTTTTTTTCATTTAAGAAATTGACCTCAGCACTTGAAAATTTTCTTGAGATTGACACGTTTGGTTTTTAAAGCCAAATCTTGTTTGGGTAATGGAAATATTTTCTAAATTTCGGCTTTATACACACGTAATGCTTTTGTGTTTCCCATACATGCCATCGGTAACTATGTAGTTATTGTTAGTTTAACAGAGTCTAAAAGGTAGTAACGGTGATGTACAGTAAAGTACGAGTAAGGGGGGGGGGGCTTAACATTTTTTTTCTCAATAGCACGAACACAATTTGTACTAGAATGTTATAATTTTGAACAGATAATATTCATCCAAAAAGAATTTGTTTCACACAAAATTTATACAGTAAAAACTTCTTTTCCAAACGAAATGGAAAATAAAAACAAAAAACACCGATAAACGCAAAATACACTAATCTAAAAGGTCTTGTAGGGAGAATCATGTAGTGATTGGTTTGTTTTTCCCCTACCTTTTCTTTTTTAAATCTAATCTTTCCCTCCCTGTAACATTTAAACAATGTTTCTTTTCTCTTACAGAGAACACTAGGATCCACTCAACCATGAGTCCTCAGCACCACACACACACACTACCTTACAGTATGGAGTCGTCTCTAGAGAGTATCGGGGGAAGGGGGAGGTTGCCCAAATAGACTACATTTGAGGAGTTAACATATCCTGAAAGGTAAATATGGGCTTTGCCAAGGAATTAAATGTCATAGAGGAAAACTTCTTGATGTTTAATGCGATAGAGGAATAGTGAACACATTGCTATCCTCTGATCCCTGTCAGCTTCGCGAACAGGAAAATGGTACAATCATAGATGAAGATCTACCTTAAGAATGCAAACCGTTGAGATGTAGGAAAGTCCTAGCTGCAGACATTGTCTACGGACAGACGTCTTATGGGGCTCATCTACTGAAAGCTGAATCCTGGTGATGTTTAAAAGGATGCGCACTGTGTGTGTTTGACCTGAAGTGATCATTTTATCAGAGAATTGTTAGTTCTGATTCTCTAAAGGGCCTAACAGAAGAACCATTTTTACCCTTAAGATTACAGGAGGACGTGTTAACGACACTTTAACATTATTGCCTCACCTTGTGCGAAACTTACGAAATGAGTTGGTAGTGAGGAATCGTTAAACACCAAAAGCTCTCTGCTCTCTACCAATCTTAAATATGATCTCAACAGGCAAAGTAAACTTGAGAAAAACTATCTGCAAACTTCTGTTGGCCTCTAAGACTACCGTAGCTTGCAACATGGCCCAATCGTCGGGACTTTTAGAGGTAAGCCTAATGCCAAAAAAAACACGAGCGTCATGCTGCAAAGATGGAGACATAGCTGAAAATGGGTTGTTGTTTTTTTACCTGTGGTGTAGATAACAACCATTCTGTGGATTACCTTAAATAAATACCAGGCAAATTCCTTTTGACTCCAAAATGTTGAGTACAAATTTGAAAGACAATACCTTGGTGTGGAGGAAAATATTTACAAAACAATGGTTGAGATTTTTGTGGGTTTTGGGGGGTTTTCTTGGATCACCTTGTAAAATGAATACCTATACATGTATGTATGTATAACAGGCTAAGAACCTGTTCTTGTCGGCCAGGGGAGTAAAATGCCAATGTAAAGCGCCATGAGTGTACTTATACCGTAGGCTATATCTGTGCTTTATAAGTACCGTTTTTCTTTGCTATGTGACTCAATAGTACGAGCCAGATGTCAAAGATTCAAATCCTGGACTTCCATCACCCGAGGAGAGTGATTAGAAACTAAACCACTATACCGCAGGCCGACCCTCTCCCAAAATAGAAACTTACTTCTTACATTTCTACACTGGTTATTGACAACATCGTGGAAATATTGAAATTATTTATTTTATTAACATGTGATTTAAAACACTGTGTGGCCGCAATTCGTGTAACTCTCAATTTTGCACGACGGAAAGACTTGGACAAAGTTGCAGCAACATCCACGGTTACGGAGTTACATCTGAGAGCAAAATCTAAAGGCATATGGGACAACACCAGGGTAAAATAGGCGAATAATACTGGCAGATGTTAGAAAGGTGCCACTGACAGGTCCTTCTTAATGTCTTTTCTATTGTTTCTGTCGCTAATCATGTATTTCCCCTGTACCACCACCCCCTCCCCGCACCCCGCTCTACGCCTCAAACCGTGATTTCTGTTTACTCAAAAGTAACACCACATCATCTTACAGATATTGTATAAGCTACACCGTCAGAACCTCCATATCATTTAATTGAACGAACTTTTCAACTCAGGTGGTCATGGTTCGCACCTAATTTCTCATTTTAAAAAGGAAATTTGTCTTACCTCCCCAACAACACTATGTATATCATGAAGGTAGCAGGCTTCCACCATGCCTGTTTGGGGAAATACAGTGTCCCAGCCGAAAGACGGAGAAACTCGAAAATTCGACCCCTCAAGTTTATCCAAATCTTCTACGTGCGAGGACGAAAAACCTAACCTGTACACCACAGGTGCCGATCTAACTTCTCTGCTCAAAAGCTCCCCGAAAAAAAACCCGCGGTAGAGCATTAGCCTCTTTGTCTCTCCTCTCATAACGAAAATCCCAGGCCGCCCGCTGTCTGTTGTTGCAAAATGACAAAGCTGCAACTCGACTATGAATCTACGGAATTGACTTCTTGTACTCCTCAAATCTTGAATCGTGCACTGTCGTGGCCGCTACTCTTTGCTCTCCATACAAAGGTCGATGTGCAGCTGTGCAGCATGTGCGCACAAATGAAGGGGAAAATGTTAGTTTCACAGCAACTTTCACTGTTCATTTGACTCGGAATTGAATCAACTGGTGCACTCAATAGTGAACACAAGTTTATGCTCCTCGAGGACCCCCTGCGTTGCAAACAATTTCAAGTAGTTCGTAATTGAAGACCAGATCAATACTTTTCCTGAGTCAACACCCCGCAAAAATAATCAAAATTAAAAGATATTAGAAGGTCTTACTGTGGGTATTTCCGCTGGGTTGTGTCCATACATGTGACACAGCTGCAAGCAGACGTCCCGGAGCATCATGCGTACGTTTGTTGACGTCATAGTACTTCCAATCATGCGCACAAGTACTCTTGGACTCTGGTCAGACCTGCAAGAAAAGTTTTCCAAGAAAAATAACCAACTCGATCCGATAGTACATCGTGTTCGAACAGAAAATCACTGACGTTACACCGTCTGCCAAAGACACATTTTTGAGGAGTTTCTTGATTCAGTGATGCTCTCATAGCTCGTGTCCTAAAAGGGGAGGAAAAATAAATGGGTGGTTGGCGGGTGCTTTGGTGTGGTTTGATCCTTCTTTCCTATCGAACTTCTATCGTCCTCCTCATTTTTTTTTATTTGGTACTCTCTGGTAACAGCTCTAATCTTCGTCAATAATATGACCTAACAATGTGACAAGTGCTATAAATCCATACTAAAGCAAACAAATAAAGAGTGTTGTCATTCTTCGTGAGTTTTTGTGGGAAAGAATGGTGCTTAGATAATCACCACAGACACCGGTCAGTAAAGAAAGGTTAGTTCTTATCTTCACTGACCACCGTCTGTGGTAGGAGCAGCGCTTGGTATCTTTACTGTTGCAAACGCACGACGTCAATACGAATCTAGAGTGGTGTAGGTTTTCATCAAGCATTTTCGTCTTTCTGCTGGGGTGTTGTACCCTACTCAGTCCGGGCTGGCTCGGTTAGGCAAAGGTACAAAACAATCGGTAACCTAGGAATTCTAAATTATTTCAATGGGAGTACAAAAGATTTATAAAATCATAAACTATATGTACTAAAGAATGTTTCTTAGAATCAGTCTTTGGTACAAATCAATTGGGCAAACTTGTTTCTGCGTTCAGAATTATTTTTCTATGCACATACGAGGTTGGAACCAGTAGGTTTCGTTATTTTCAAAGCAAAATCCTGACTCTTTCCCTCACAGAAATTCACTAGTGAAGAGTACAAAAGAAACAGATTCCTCTCGTTCTGGAACACAGGTAAAGAAAGAACTACTGAATTTAGCAAGTGTGACCAAATAATTACAATTTCAATATCTGATTCAATCTAAGGTGTGACCAAATAATTGCAATTTCAATATCTGATTCAATCTAAGGTGTGACCAAATAATTGCAATTTCAATATCTGATTCAATCTAAGTACTAAAAAAACCGTTGCAATTTCAAAACATTGGTCACTTCGAATTAATAATAATTACCAGAGAAGAATGCGGTTCAAACATGCTGAATTGCGCAAAAAGACAAAATTTATTGAAGGGAACTAACTCCAAAATGCAACGTTAACGTTTATAAATCACAGAGTAGCCTACCCTCTGTACCAACGGGAAATTTCCTTGGCGACTTTCCCAATGATGGCTGACTTCCCACAACCTGTCTTTCCGTAGAGGATCAACGGACGTCGTGTTTTGGCCTTGAGGTACGACTTGACCAAGGTCAGATGCTCTTTCCGGCCCTGGAAACTGCGTGCTCTATACAGAGAAAATGTTAAAGAAAGTTGTAACAATGACCTTGCCAGCGTATTTCTTCCCGATATGTTTCATCTGTACTTACTTTCTTTCCTTCTTTCTTTCGTTCTTTCTTTATACATCCATCTATTTATTTATTCAATTTCTTGAAAATGTATCTATCAATTTTCCTTGTCATTCATTAACATAACATACACAGTGTAATATTTCATTCATTCTTCCTTTCTTTGTTTTCTTCATTTATTTACAATTTGTTTTTCTTTCTTTTTAAGGCAGCAGGAAAGCTGGGAGTACTTACTTTTCTTGGCATGTCCGAACGTGCTGGGCTATTTCCTCACACAGTCGTGACGTCATCCCTCTGGCACCAGTAAGGGTCATAGTGTCTCCCGTGACCTTTTCCTCCTCTGAGGCGGCCAAGTTCCGCTTGACCATGTCAGAGACAGTCCGGCACACCCTCTCTGTATAGACAGCATGCTCTCGGACAATTGCTGGCCGCACCCCGCCGGATGACCACTCCAGCAGGAATGAGCCAGTGTTGTGTTCAGGGACCTGAGTAGGGCCAGTTATGTTGGTTTATTTTAGTAGAGGTTTTACAGCGCTCACAACTGCATAAGGTCATATTATGAGCGCCAGAAGATTAGAGGTGTTACAAGTTACAAGAATGTAAAAAAAAAAAGGAGGGGATAAGGACGATAGATTTTTTTATAAGAAAGAAGAAGCAAACCACACCAGAGCACCCGCCAACCACCCACCAGTTATGTTTCAAGGATCAGTGAGCGAAGTGCTTTACTTACTGTAGGTGTTTTTATGCAATTTAGATTATTCGGGAAGCGTGCCAGCTGATATCCAAGCAGAAAGATCGAGTAACTCGATAAAAATACCCCCCTCCAAAAAAAAAGAAAAAAAATGATCCGAAGTCGAACTCGGTTCTCCAGCCTGACACAGCTCAACGTTTAACTGCAACACCACAGACGCCAGGGGTGATGTGTGCTTCTCCAGATGGCAGTGTCTATATTTCCCAACGTTAGAGAGCGTATGCAAGCTGTCTACGTTCTCTGACGAATCGAAAATAGTAACAAGCCGGTGTTTTGAATTCTAGATGAGGCTGGGCTACTTTTCAATATTGTTTTGGGGTTGTTTTTTTCTAATTGGTTAGCATCGTGTTTTGTTGTTAGATCTACATCATATAGCCTAGGTCCGCCAGTTCACTCCAATGGATTATATTGGCTTTTTCATTATCTGATGTTCCAGATCTTTTTCATTATCTGATGTTCCAGATAAGACGGATTAGGCACAAAAGACTGAGTGTTTGATTGAAAATGTTTTTATTGAAGTCAAAACAGCCCTGAGGGTCATACACTATTGTAGACCTAGTGTTGATATGACTGACTTGACCTTGACCCAAGTGACTTGATTCCATTGCAGTGATGTCACATCACACACAAAATCGGCAAGGTTTTTCCACACATTTCAATTTGATCACGTTGTATCGCATACCTTGGCTTTGAGGTGGGAATACGAAATCGCATCATGTAAACAGTAAGCTAAACAGAGGGCCTGATCTTCAGTGACTTATTCAAATTGCTTGAAGGGGGTGGGGGCTCCTTGTGTGAAAAGTGTACCAAATATTTTATTGTGTGTGTGGTGTTAAAATTTAGTGAAAAAGGGGGGGGGGGCGGTCATCTCGGTGGGATGAAAAGAACGGGTTGGTTGGTTGGTTGGTTGGGGTTGAACGTCGCTGTAAAGGCAAGATACTGTAGGCCGCTTTACTTTTGCGAGCGTTTTAATTTCGCGAGAAAAACCAAAATTGAGGTACAAAGACACCTGCAAAAACAGCTTATCTAAGCTTGTTAACTTGTTAACATCTGGGAAGAAATAGCTGAGGATAGGTAAACAAGGATGAAAATTATAAAGGAAAGAATTAAAATTAGAAACAACCAGGCTGAAACGCCAACGACGAAAGGAAAACAGTGGAAATACAGAGCTTCGATCCACGTCACTGACTTGAAGGCACGGCAACAGAATCTGCCTTCAAACATAGGAAGAATTAGCCATGAAAGAAGCAGCGTGAAGACAACCGTGAGACCATCTTAAGCTAAATTGACCGTCTGTATAGACGAAAAGAGCCATGCGGTTTGGCGGCCATTTTCTCACTAATTTTACCTATGACACCACCTCATTCAATTGCTAATATCTCGACTTCTGTTCGACTTAGATGGGTATTTTTTTATCAAAAGCTAGACAGATGAACAAGCTAAGATCATACCAATAGCTTACATTTGTCGGACAATTGATGAGCACCTGGTTCCACCGTGGCGAGATTCATTCTATCAGAAATACGAGTACGTACTATTGACATGACATATCGCACGTTGCACGTGTTCGGGGGAGGGGAAAGGGAGTGGGTGGTTGGTGGGTGCTCTGGTATGGTTTGCTCCTTCTTTCCTATCAAACATCTATCGTCCTTATCTCCCCTTGTTCTTTTTTATGTTTGTTACTCTCTTGTAACACCTCTAATCTTCTGGCGCTCATATGACCTTATGCAGTTGCGAGCGCTGTAAAACCTCTACTAAAACTAAATTAAAAAGGGGAAAGAGAGTGGCTGGGAAGGGGAGGGGGGCTCTACGAAATAAGTATGTGGAAAATCTGTCACAATCACTCCCCTTCTCCTTTCTTACAATGCATCAGGGGTGCATAGTGGATTGAATACGTGAAAGAAAGGCAACAGTCAGTATTTTTCGTGTAACTAATGCCGTTTTTTCCCTTGAGGTCTTCATAATAATTATGGTCTACTTTAGACCGAACGAGAATTAAGACCCAAGTGAACTTAATAAAAATAAACCTCTTGTTTTTACCTTTGTCGGCAGTGACATCCTTATGTCGTCAATCCTGCTGGAGGTCTCTGTGTCCAGTTTGGGCGGCTTCTCTGAGAGTCTGTCCGTGTAGTCAGGAGCTGCCACGTCATCAAGGCGAGTGGTCAGTTGTTCAATGGTCCTAACCAGGACTACCGTGTGTTGTGCGGCTGCATCATGCTTAAAGATTTCTTCCACTTCCAAACTCAGAGCTGAGAAAGTAGTAAAACAATACGAGTCATTGTAAATGGTTGACACTTAACACAGTTTATATCATTTGAGATCTCGTGTTGAAAGATATCATCCACCTTTAAATCTGTGCAGAATTCACGAAATTGTAAATTGACGAAACCCGTATACCACAAAAGAAAATTTTACAGGAGAAACAAACAAACAAACAGAATAATTTATTTTGTCCTCAGCCTAAAGAATCCATTTTCTATTTCTGAATTTATAGTAATGTCTCATGAATAAGCATTTCATTGGATACGTGGAGTGGGGGGGGGGTGGAATTGTTAGCGGGATTTTTGTGGTCTACAGGGTTTGTTTGTTTGTTGATTTGTTTTGTTGTTTGTTTGTTTTTTGAGGAGGGGAGTTTGTTTATTGAAATAAACAAAAACCCTGTATAGTTCGATACGGGCTTCTGCAAAACAAATGTTCAAATCTAGGAGACAAACGTTTTTAATTAAATCAAACTCTCTGGAAAACGTCTGCCACGATTCAATGAAATAATAGTTGTAGTGTTCTTTACACTTTGTCACTTTTAAAGAGTGATATGAATATTTGACAATGTGGTATTCAATGAAAGTACAAACAAGCAACAGTAAAAAAAACTCGATTTATTCAGGAACAAAACATCAAGAAATCAGTACGTTGCATCATTATTACACATCGAAACACAATTAATTCAAAATGGGCAAATTTTAGTAATGTTACAATTTCACTGCACTTGCGTGACATTAGGTTTGAACATGATACAACTGTAGATTTTATTTTCTTTTTCTTTTTCTTTTTCTTTTTTTGGGGGGGTCAAAATTTGGTAAAATCAAAAACAAGAGAGAGAGTGAGCGAGAGAGAGAGAGAGAGAGAGAGAGAGAGAGAGAGAGAGAGAGAGAGAGAGAATATGACGGTACGTTTGAAGATTTTCAAAGTCAACAAAGGGTGCTGTAACTCCACACTGTACACACATCCGCTTGTAAACAATCTCTGACCAAATGGCACTGACAGTGAAAAGGATTGAACAGCAATCTTCATCAAAAGTATCGTTTTCAGGAGATGGCAATAAATCAAAGAAATCGTCGTAAGTTTTGGGAATGTGATCTGATCCGCAGATCTGGAGAAAATCTCTCTTCTTAGCCTAAGAGATGCTAGTTGGTTTGTCCTCTGGAGTTATTTTTTTCTTTTATCTTTGAGAACGTCTGTCAAGTGTCTCTGCTTTGAGAAGAGTTTGATTCTTAAAAACTGCAAAGTGATCACTACGATTCTTCCTGTAAAAGTTCGCATTTGGATCTCCTCGTCTGAAAGATAAGATTCTCAGCTTCGTTCAGTTTACATTTTGCTTCTGATCTCGTCGTTCAGCTTGAAATTCTTTACCTTTGCTGACTTCGCTATGTAGTAAACAAAATCCTCCATAGTTAACTCTGCTTCTTTGTAAGGAGCTTTTGATTTCCTAGCATCTCGCACTACCATGAAACACAGCTCTGGAGAACCGATTGATAAGTGCCTTCAGGTCTGTCAATAACAGGATGAATGTAGTCACTGCTGATCTATTTATGCCCTTTCCCTACAAGAGGGATGTATTGTATGTTCCAGAATGCACCAACAGACGGCAGAAATACATCTGTTCCTGTTTGGGATCAGCCAATAGTCAGAAAACATTTTGAAGTTTGTATCACCTAGAGATGCCTTCTTAGAGATGTACTTAAAAATGCTCTTCTCTTTTTCATTGCCACCGCTTTTTGCAACATGTCCTCTCCCCAACCATACCGCCGTACATTTACCCACTATTTTGTGTTATGTAAGTTAGTTGCAACTTAAACGTGATCTCTATGGTTATCCCGAATCTGAGCACTAATTCAAGCACACTTGAAATAGGGAAAAACGGGGGATGTTTACTTTTACACAAAACTGTACGTACCTGAAGTGTAGTACCGCTGCAAAGCTATCTTGTCCGCTATCACTTCTGACCCGAACTTCTGCAAGACATTGACCATCTGGGAGGCCGTAGCGGCAAAAGAAGATTTGGCCGCGCTTCTTTTCCCTGCATCGTTACGGTTGATGTCTTTGTACACAGTGCTGTTGGAGAGATGGAACGGACAGTAGCTTTCAATGCTTTCTTTTCTTAATGTATGTGCTTTTACGCCACCAACTACACAATTTTGGTCATTTAGGATGTGGGCTTTTACCATGCCTTTCGGGGCCAACCTGGGCTGAGTGTCAGCAGAAAGACATAGACACTCGATACAAATTCTCCCCACGTGGGGATCGAACTCAGGTCTTTCGCGAGCAATGAGAAATTCCCTAACCGCTACACCACAGGCACTGGTGCACTTAATCTAGAAAACTTAGAAAACCACGCATTTGGCAAAATAAATACAACGGCCAAAACAGACGTACAATATGATATGCAGAACAAAGAAAAACAATGAACAGAATTTGTTTGAGCAAAGGAGAAGTGCTAACAGTGTGCAAAACAATGTTGTGAATGTTGGGGGGAGGGGGAGGGTCATGGGCCTTTTTTCTCGTTTCGCTGGGAAAAAATCATAATCGTATTTCGCAAATTTCAAAATTAATGGTCGCTAAAAGCGCACGATTTTAAAGAAGCCCTTTGAGGCCTTAACATTTTTAAATTAGATAGAAAAGGTCAACTTTTTTCAACAACTGAACTAAACATTTTATCATCACAAAACTTGAATGGATGTCCACCCCCCCCCCCCCCCCCTCAAAGAAAACAAACAAATGAACGAAATAAGGAAAATAGTAGGTTTTCAAAAACTGCCAGTCTGAAACAGACTTCGGAGATCCTGATTCTCCATTCATTTAGCCGATAAGCTGCCCTCGAAACACTTATCTACATGTATATCGTCGAGGTGTTTTCTCGTCTCCCATCTGTTCAGGTTTTTCAAATAAGTCTCGCTGAGTCTACCTCTGCCTCGTTCGCTATCTACTTTTCCTGTGAGAGCACAGTTGCCATTATTCTTTGTAGTTCTTTCGATACTTCCTCTTCTGATTCCTTTTCTTTCCATGAAATTCTCAAAGGTTTCCTAAAAATCACAATTTCTGTTGCTTCTAGCTCATTTTCACTATCTTGAGTAATTGTCCGGCATTCATAATCGTATAAAAGTGTTGTCCAAACACAACATTTTTTAATCCTTATTTTTAGTTGTCATTAAGATGTTTCTAGGTTTTTTCAGGAGAGGGCTCAAGCTGTGTTAAGCTTGTGCGATACTTCGTTTCATTTTCACTTAAATATTCGGCATCGGAGATAATCATACTCGTATCCCAGATACAATCTGAACCAATACGTACCTAATATTCTGCAGCCTGTAGACAGCGGGAACCGCGTTTTCGTCTAGTTCATACCACTTGTCTAGTAGGTCAGCGTCTGGAAGCTGTTCTTCCGCCTCTTTCAGTTGCTGCAAGAGCATGTTTTTGGTTGGGATTTTATTTTTTTAAATATTTTGGTGGGGGGAGATTGGAGTTGGAGGCGGGGGAGGTGTTGTTGTTGTTTTTGTTGTTTGTTGTTTGTTCTTGTTCTCTTTGAAAGAATTTAAAAACAAAACAGGGGGGAAAATGAATGGAAAAACACTGGAGGGAAACGCTAAAAGAGCATCGTGACATAGATAACCTCGTATATCTATAAATAGATGGTTAGATTCGGATTTGAAGGTGAAAGAGAGAGGGAATTGGGAGGGGGGGGTCATCATTTTGTTAATCATGATTGAGTCAGTGGAATTGTAATGATGAGGTCCAGGTTCAACCTGTGAAAGAATTCAATTTGATAGGGTTTTTCCCGTGACAATTTTCAATAATTGATACTGTTCTATCAAAGAGGGACAAATAAAAGTAGGTGAAACGTAGTGGACTGTTACTTTCATTTGATAGTGGTGCCGAAATAACGCGTAGGTGTTCAGTTAGTGAACTGTCGTATTTGGCTATGACATAAATAACCCTGATTCGAATTCCCAACTTCGAAGTTTTGTTTTTAATCGTTTGGGAAGTTTCCAATCCACTCCACCCTCTGGCTATGTCACTTAGGAGATGGACGTTGAATCTTTAGTTCCCGTTTCTTGTTAAGTGGTGGAAGGGGCGTTAAACACTGACTATACCATCGGCAAAACAAAACCTTTCAAGAAGATTCCTGTAGAAAGACATACCAAGAAGACCAGGAGCGTGTACTCGTGGTTGGTTTTGTGTCGGTGTGTTACTTACTTTGTTTCCCAAGAAGAACTATCATTTTGTTATAAAGAGGAAGCAAAAACGGAACAAGGAATACAGAAACAATTATTCATGTTGATATTTCCAGATATTTTGTTTTTACATGTACGCACACAATATTTAAAAAATCTTAATTTGTGTGTGTGTGTGTGTGTGTGTGTGTGTGTGTGTGTGTGTGTGTGTGTATGGGAGGGGGATTGCGATTTTGTTTGACATTATTATCGTACTTAGAACAATGTGTTGCCCTTGAACTCGAGAAAAAACCGAAACCTTTGAGTGTGTGGGTTCTTTCTACTTTTACAAAATAACTCCTCTACAAAACTAAAAATTGTTGTCACAAAATCCTCCTTCTCACCTTCATTAGCTGCTGGTCCTTCTTGATGACAATACTTTGCTTCCTGCGGAGTTCCTTGGCCGTGGCAGAAACCCCGGGACTGCTGGTCTCCCTGTCCTCCGTGTCCTCTGTGGTATTTGTGCGGGCTGACGTTGGGTTCTTCTCGCTCTCTCGGGCGCTCTCGGCTCCGTTACTGCTGCCGCTGGGTGTGCCAGCTGATTTGAAGATAGAAATTACACAATTTCCATTTATTCATTATAGTTTTTACTTTATTTCTTTTATTTGTATTTTGTATTTTTTTTATTTTATTTTATTTGGGGGGGGAGTGGAGGGGGGTAATTTTGTGTACGATGCATTAAAGATCCCTGGGTGGATTAAATTCGTAGAAGGTCAGGCAGTACCAGCGCCCACGGCGCAAAATTCTAAATTTAAAACATTCCTTAACTTTAAATTTTCATAGTCCTATCACACCCGTGAAGCCTCCGAACATCATCTTTGTTTTCAAATGTGTGGACCATGTCTCTCTTTTGTAGCATATTATTAAGGAAGACAAGGTTTGAAGGCAGGTAAGTAGTAATAGGGCGGTCAACGTCCTCTATGTCTACTGCCCAGGAAAACCAACTTTACTAAGCGTATTGCTTTAGATTTTTCAATGTAGGTGTGTTTACTCCCTTATTGGCACAACTACTGTTATTTTGGAGGCGGGATTCCACTTCTGCCTTCCCAAGAATACCCGAGCTGAGAGGGATACAGCATCCCAGCATAAAGACAAAGACACTCGATTAAAACATTTCTCCCCACTCGGGAATCGAACTGGAGTCTTCTGCGTCCGACACTGAAGAGCAAAAGTATCACAAAAGCTGGTATACTGCTTTAAGATCATCTGTCAAGAATAGAAGCAAAAGGACTTAATAAATCATTCTTTTCTTGTATTTCTTTACTATATAGAGGAAAACTGTTATCGGCACCACTACGTTTAGGGTGAAAACAAGAGTTTAGAGTTATTTTAAAGTAAGTTCATATTTATTTTTCTGAGTAAAGAGGATGTGCTGTCCAAAATTGTATTTAATAATAGTAATGATAATAATAAATGACATTTATATTTCGCTCAAGCCCGATTAAAGTACACAGGCTCTGAGTGCTTTACAACGAAATGCAATGTACAACAGTAAAATAAAACGTTGTGTTCTGGCGAAAAGAAAATCACTCCAAATATTCATCTCATTAATTTAAAGATAGAAATGACTTCAGCTGACATTTGAATAAATCAAAAGATTTGATCTCGTTTTAAGTGCTTGGCAAAGCATTCCAGATCTTGGGGCCTTGATATTCAAATGTAATTTCACCCAATGTTTTAAGTTTCATAGATGGAAAAAGAAATTTCTTTTTGTCAGCTGATGACCTTAAACTGCGAGTTGAAATGTACAGTGTCAACAGATTTGATAAACATGATGGCGCATTATCTTTCAAGCACTTGTGACATAGGGTGGCCAATTTGTACACCATTCTTTTTTATCTAGAGGAAGTAAATGTAATGTCCCCGTCCGTAAAGGAGCAGATGTAGCAGAGTCTCGCTTTCTTTCCCTTAAAACTAAATTTAAAGTTTTGTGTGTCATTATTGTACTACTTTTTAATGAAACCAAAGCCACACATTGAATTCTAACTCTCCTTGGTTCTTAGGGTTCAGTGTGTTATGATTTTTATGTATAGAGTCTTTAAACAAAAGCATGGAGTGTAATAGCTCCTGATGTGGCTCGGAGTGCTGGTTGATTTCCGAGTTATACAAATGTGCGTGTATATGTGTCGGAGGGAGGGGGTCATGAGTAAAGAGAAATACATTCGTTTGTTGAGGATGGTCTTGTACAGGTTTACTTCTATTACCTGTAGCTTTATGAAGACCCTTGGTCCTTTCATATGAAAAACGTTCGAATGTGTTGATTATAAATGCGTCCTCTGTTATTTAAAAACAAAAAACATGTCGACACAGCAATGGTCATTTAGTGTAGAGAAACAAGTACAATAAGCGAAAAGAAGCAATCAGATATTAACGATAAATGCGTCTCTTTAAAAAAACATAATAATAATAATATGGTGTAGGGGAGTGTTTATTAAAGTATACCATAATTATTACTACTATATAACACTAACCAGAGGACGAGGATTCATCAATGGTCTTCAACTTGTCCCTCTCTTGCCATCGGGTATGGATATCCAACATTTTCATCTGCAGAAGACCTCTGTGTTTATCACGATATGCCCTCGCAGCTGCACATAAAGCCTCGTACTCGGCTTTGGGGATTTCTGCAGGAAGCAGATATGTGCCGTATCTCTGACCCAGAAAGATCTGAAATGATAATCTTAGAATAAGGCGTTGCGCGAAAAGGGAAAATACTGAATTTCATTGTTTTTAAAGCAGTAGCAAAGAGCATCGCATAGGCAAGAGAACGGCCATTTTGTGGATGGGACAAGATCAAGATAGACAGAAGCAACAAAGGTCAAAAAAGGAAGTAGGATATCTTACATGTGCCCTTCAAACCAAGTGCCTTGAAAATAGACACGTTTTCTTTTGCCAGTTAAATGTCTGCCATATGCAATCATACTTGACTCTGCTCGAGGCCTCTAAGCCAGAAAGGAAATGGAAGGTTAATACGGGGTGCCCACTACGGACGGGATCGGCCGATCGAGGCGATCGCCCGACTCGATCGCCTCAAAAACAAACATGTTTGTTTTCAGTTTCAGGCGATCGAGTCGGGCGATCGGCCCAATCCAGCTGTAGTGGGCACCCCGTCTAATAGTGCAGCTAAATCGGTCAAATCAATGATGATCAGAACTGTTAACAAGATGATCTTTGACCTACACTTCAATGTTCAAATTATTTTCATCTCTTCAGGACCAACGACAATAATACCGTCTCTGAAACAGCTTTTCAAACGAAAATGATTCACTTTCTGTATCTAATCTCGTGCGTAATATTAGGTTTTTAGCTAAAAAAATGAGTTCATTTCTTGAGAAACACGTTTCATGGAGTATTTCTACCTGCCTGACAGGCCATGATACATCTTATCGCCCTAGTCAGGGCACACAGGTAGAGCAAAAACATCCCGTTTCCTAAAACATCTAAAATGTAATTTAAAAAGGAAGCAACACTTAAAGAACGACCAAATGATCACATGACCTACCACAAAGTTAACTCCAAGCTCTGGTTCACGTGCACGTTTTATGTATGACGTCATCAACTCTGGGATACTGTGATCGTCTGTCAGGACGTCCTTGAACCCCCAGTGAAGGTCAATGACTCGTAGTTCATGACCTCGCTCCTTGCAGTAGGTGCGCAGGTGAGGGTACAGGTGTTCTTGCATGAAGGACCTCTCAGCTTCGGCGTCTGTAATTGGTAGGATTGGGTGGGAGGGGGGGGGGCAAATATTGGACAGAACGTCTATTATATCTGATCAGCATGTATAAAAAATATTACTATGTTCATCTTTACTGTATTAAATTTATAAAACAACTCCCATTTCTCTCTGACTGCCTTTCTGATCAACTTTTCTAAAGTGGCCTTTGCGTCTCTACTTTCTTGTTTCTCCGTGTTTCAGTTTTTCTCTCAAAATCAAGAAGAAAAATAAGCCCTTCTCGACGGGGAATTAAACCAGTCTCTTTTGTGACAAGTGGGGATACGTATCAGCATTGCTGATGGCACACTGCCTTTGCTGCAAAATGACTCACTGAGTTGAGTTGGGACGCGGGGAAATGAATGATTTCTTTGATATCCAAAGCTTGAACAATAAAGAATAAAATGAAATCATCTTCAATTTCATGAGAATTACACAGCTCACAAATTTGTGAATTTATAAATTTCCTTCAAAATATATTATTACTCAGTGGATGGCTGTGGGTCTTTCACAAAGTTGCAATATTTCGATTTTAAATCCGTGAGTGTTTAATGATATAGCCTAACGGTTACGCGATTAAACAACCGCAGAAGCAATAGATAGTAGTAATAATTAAGCTTGCAAGTTGTTCAGTGCATGTCATCAGTGTCAAAAGTGTTAACACTATGATCATCACTACATTCTTATTTTACCTACAGATATAAAACAATCATTTCTCTACTTTGATGCCCTTAAAAAATATAATAATCCTGGTCTTTTCACCCCCACCCATCTGTACAAGTTATGTATGTAAGTTATAAAACCCTGTGGTCTACCTCAGACTCGATGTACCCACTACACCTCTGCCATGTATTAGATAATTGTTTAATACAACACTAGAAAAAAAGTTGACACAGGACCCCCAAAACGCCCTCTTCAGAGTTACCTGTGAGTCCAGACGCTATGTAGAGATTGATGACCGTCGTGTCAGCTGGACATTTGTGGTTCACTTGCCCGTTCATGATCTGGGCCAGCCTCTCCTGGCGAGTCAGTCTCTGGTTTTCTCGAGTCTCCGGCCTGGACGAGGAAGAAAATGTAATTGTAAGAGTTTGACTTACTCTATCTCACCTTTAACCTGGGTGCTGCACAGTGGCGAACAGCAATTCCAGTCTTGTAAAATTGTTCTGCATTGATGCAGTTTTGTGTATTTGCTATTATTTGTTTGATATAAGTTTGTGTGCTTTATTATGTATTTATGTACCACACGGGGATCGATGAAGTGTTCTTTTAAAATTAAAATGTCTTTATCTTTCTGCTGGCACCGGTGGGTGTTCCGGAGAAAATAGATCGTATACACCTGCAGGTCACGTGGCTTGGAGAAAGAAGAAGTCATGGGCTCTGAGGGTATCATGAGGGAGCCAATCCAGTGACGCATCAGTCTCTCTCTCTCTC